ATCCAAGGTCTCAACCCCTTCGGAAAATCCTCAATGTTTCGAGTTAAGCTTTCGACAAAACCCCCTAGGAATGCACAGGAGATGTGGGCTATTGTCGAGAACCATATACAGCGAGAACACACGCTCAAAAGGTCCCAAGAATCCTTTGCCTCGGTAGGCCCCAAAGAAAAACCAAAAATCCCCCAGGAAGGTAGACCGACACTGCCCAAGATGGATAGGCAATTAACGCCCTTAACCAACCTCCGACGAGAAATCCTCCAGATCCATAGGGACGAACTGCCGATTCCGAAACCCTTAGCCCCTAATCCAAATAGGTCAACTGAACAATACTGTGAATATCACAAAGATCACGGCCACGACACGGAGGATTGTCGAGAGCTCAAGCGTGAAATCGAGAACGGGGTCAAATCTGGGAAATTTCAGCAATATGTGCAGAGAACAGCTTCCGACAGAAGAATAACAGACCCCAGTCACGAGATCACCCAAAAAGAATTTCAGAGGCCCTCCACGGCGAGATGGCCGAGGAAATAATTTGCAACCAAGAATCAATGCCCACCAACAGCAGCATTTTCCCGTCGCTGAACCAACGCCACAGCCATTGCAGCAACTCCCCTCGATGGATCCAACGAAGCTAATCACTCACCAGGTAGGAGCCATTTATGGAGCTCCCCTCGATATCTTATCCACGACAGCCATGAAAAACTCATTGCGAACTGTCACCAAAACCCCTCGACAAGAACCTAGCTACAAGAGATTCAAAGGAACAGAGGCCATCGTATTTACAGATAGCGATGTAGTCCCAGACATTTGTCCCCACAGTGACGCTATGGTCATAGAAGCAATAATCGCAAACGTAAAAGTCGGAAGGGTTTACGTGGACAATGGAAGCACGGTCGATATCATATATAGTGATTGCTTCAAGAAGATGAACATCAAAAACCATTGCATCCGCCCAGCTAAAATGCCGCTAATGGGATTCTCAGGACACACCATTATCCCTACAGGAATAATTAGCCTACCTATCTCGGTAGGGTCGCATCCTAGGACAGTCACTTTGACCATGGACTTCGCCCTAATAGATGCACCCTCGCTGTTCAATGTGATCCTAGGGCGACTTGGATGGTCCAAGCACGCGTGGTATGGTCTCCCTATCACTTGGTAATGAAATTCCCGACGGAATATGGAGTAGGAGTAGTAAAATGATGCCAGCAGAGTTCTCGAGAATGCTTGCTCACTGCAGTCAGAATTGGAAAGAAAACTGCATACCTTGACCCAGGGTCCGCTGTGTCAGAATGCTATTCGATTCGACAAACGGTCAACCCACCAGAGGTAGAAGACACCGAGCCACCCAGCCTTCCCTCGTTCAATAGCAAGACGCGAGGGTTAGTCCTGAACGAGTCTGATCCCACCAAGACCGTCCAAATCGAGGTTTCTCTACAAGACCCCTTGCTAACCGAGATTAGCGCCTTGCTACGAGAGTTCCAGGACATATTCGCCTGGGCCCCGGCGGATATGACAGGAGTCCCTCGAGAAGTCATAGAACATAGGTTAAATGTTAACCCAAATGCCAAACCAGTACAACAGAAGAAAAGAGTATTCGCTCGAGAACGTAACGATGTCAGAAACGATGAAGCTAGTCCGAGCCTACATACTCCGGGAAGTCTTATGGCCTACGTGGCTAGCCAATCCGGTCTTAGTGCGAAAATCTGACAATTCCTGACGTATGTGCCAAGACTACACAGACCTCAATAAGCATTGCCCCAAGGACTGCTACCCTCTACCAGTCATAGATCAAATGGTGGAAGGTATTGCTGGGTATAGAGTCCTAAGCTTCCTCGACGCCTACAAGGGATATCACCAAATCCTCATAGCACAGGAAGATGCAGAAAAGACAGCTTACATCACCGAGATAGGAGTATATTGCTACGACAAGATGCCTTTTGGACTAAAAAATGCTGGAGCCACATATCAGCGTCTCGTGAACAGAGTCTTCCATGACCAGATCGGCGTGAACATCGAGATTTATGTGGACGACATGGTGATAAAAACCAATAAGAATGAGCAAGTAGCCGCAGACATGCGGGAGATTTTCACAATACTACGCAAGGTTAACATGAAGCTGAACCCTAAAAAATGCACCTTCTGTGTAGGATCAGGAAAATTCCTAGGGTACCAAGTCTCCAAGGCTGGAATAAGTGTTGATCCAGCTAACATCAAGGCTATCTTAGCCATGGAATCTCCAAAAACCGTTAAGGAAATTCAGAAACTCACAGGCTCCTTGGCAGCCCTAAACAGGTTTCTATCTCGAGCTGCAGAAAGAAGCCTCCCATTTTTCCATACCCTCCGCAAAGGCAGAAAATTCGAGTGGAATGAAGAATGCCAGAAAGCCTTCCAAGACCTAAAAGAACATCTCAAGCAGTTGCCCACATTAGCTAACCAAGAACCAGGAGAAACACTATACGTTTACCTAGCAGACCGAGAGAAAACTGTCTCGGCGGTCCTCGTACAGTGCAAAGACGACAAAGAAGTCCCCGTCTATTTCATTAGCAAAGTCTTGCAAGGAGCAGAAACCCGCTATTCACCCATAGAAAGGCTTATCCTCAGCCTAGTCTTGGCCGCACGACGTCTGCGCCTATACTTCCAAGCACATCCCATCATGGTTTTAACGGAACAACCAATTCAACAAGTCCTGCTAAAACTAGACGCGTCCGGCAGAATAATGAAATGGGCACTTGAATTAGGCGAGCACCATATCGAATACAAGCCTCGATCAGCCATCAAAGGGCAAGCCTTTGCCGATTTTTTAGTAGAAACACCTCAAGCCATCGAAGTCAAAGGAATGGCAGAACCTAAAGACGACCCCACTACCCGCGTCCACATCAATCCTCGAGCATGGTCACTATATGTCGATGGATCGCGTTGCGATGAAGGGGGAGGAGCCGGCATCATATTATCCAAACCTTCGGCCGATCCCGACATCGAGAACATGAAAGAATATGACGCGGAATATACATATGCGCTGAGGTTCGGTTTCTCGGTCACCAATAATGTAGCAGAATACGAGGCACTGATAGTAGGGTTAAACATGGAACTAAAACTTGGTGTTCATAAAATACAGGTTTTCAGTGATTCTCAAGTAGTAGTGTAACAAATATCGGGAGAATACACAGCAAACGACGAGCAACTCAAGCGCTACCTCGAGAAGGTCCTCGACATGAAGGACAAATTCGAGGAATGCACCGTATGCCACATAGTCCGCTCGAAGAACAAAAGAGCCGACACCCTTAGTAAGCTGGCCTCCTCGAACTTTGCACACCTCAGCCACAAAGTATGGGTCGAGGTTCTCCCCACTCCCAGTATCCAGGATGTCCCCATAGCGACCATTGTCGAGGACGGCGACACTTGGATGACCCCTTTCATCCAATACCTTACAGATGGGACGTTGCCGAGTGGAAAATCAGAAGCAAGGATCCTCTGACTAAAAGCGGCCAAATACACATTACGAGACGGCATCCTATACAAGTATGGATACCTGCAACCCATGCTAAGGTGTATCGGCCCAAAACAAACAGCTTACGTACTCGAAGAAATACACGAAGGATCATGTGGAGCTCATATGGGAGCAAGAGCACTCGCCAAGAAGGCCTTGTGAACAGGATATTTCTGGCCGACAATCTTTAAGGACGCCTACCAATGGGTACAAAAATGTGAGAAATGTCAGCGCTTCTCCCCCATCACCCGACAGCCACAGCACGAGATGGTCACCATCCAAAGCCCATGGCCATTTTACCAATGGGGCACTGATATCATCGGCCCCTTTCATCCGGAAGGAATAGGAGGAGTAAGATGGGTTATTGTAGCAGTAGATTACTTCACTAAATGGGTAGAAGTCAAACCCTTGGCCTCGATCACCGGGAGAAAAATCTTGGATTTTTTCTGGCAGAGCATAGCGTGCCGCTTTGGGGTCCCGAAGATCATCGTCTCCGATAATGGGACCCAGTTCGAGAGCAGTACTTTCAAATCCTGGTGCGACGAAATGCAGATCGAGCGCCGCTTCTCAAGCGTAGCCCATCCCCAAGCCAACGGGTAGGCCGAGTCCACCAACAGAACAATACTACATGGAATCAAGACCAGGTTGTACGATGCTAAGGGGGCATGAGCCGACGAACTCTCCCACGTCCTGTGGGCATACCGGACAACGCCGTACAGCTTAGTCTACGGTATGGACGCCGTCCTCCCTGTCGAGATCGGCCTGTCGAGTCCTTGAACTGCAAACTTCGTCGCGAGTACCAATGATGATGACATCCGACTAAACCTTGACCTGCTCGAGAGGCCAAGCATAAAGAGACTCTTCGAAGACATTACAACAAGAAGGTGAGAGCCACAGATCTCGCTGTGGGTGACCTTGTACTGAGAAAAAACGAGGCCAGTCGGGCAGAAGCCCCTGGGAAACTTACTGCAAATTGGGAAGGACCTTATAAGGTTATCTAGGCTTCCCCAGCAGGCTGCTACCGCCTACAAACCATGGACGATAGCGGAACCATCCTTCCTCGATGGTGGAACATCCAGAATCTTCGCAGGTTCTATGTTTAAGCCCTTGTCTGTTATTTACCCTTTATGTGTTTTACTTACTTTACTCAGTCAATCTTATACTCTCATATGTAATGCTAACCCGGGTCCTTGGGTAATTATTCAATAAAAGACATTACATATTCTCCCCAATTATGGCGACGCATTTATGACTAGTCATCAAGATGGACTCCCTCTTTAGGACCATCCTCGATCAAGAGCCATGTACTCAACATCCGGACACAAACTTGAAGAACTTTCCTCATGCGTATTGCAAAACGCAGTATCAAGTAAAGGAATTCGTACCCAATTCCTATGATGGAGCCGTGTACTCTACATCCGGCCTAAAAAGCGCTTTAAACATCAATACTCGAGTAAAATAAACATTCATTCCACATGGCAGTGCGAACTCACTGAAAAGTACAAACTTTCTACGCTATTACAAGCACCTCCCTGACGGGATTGTTGGGGGAGGGATGAATAATCCCCTTATACCCATGCAGGCTAAGGAGATTCACGCATTGATTCAATTTGTCCTTGAGGTCCACGATCTCTGTATCCTGAGCGTGCACCCTCATCAACAACTCCTCTCGAGAACTCCGGGTCCGAGGATCTACTATCTCCTCCGGACACTCGAAAGCCTCGAAGTCGATGTTGCTATCCAGCAGAAGATTTTGAAGTTGAGCAACATAATCTGTAAGAAGCTTGATTTCACGAGACCTCTCTTTCAATATGTCCATAGATGCGATAAAGCGACGAGTCCTAACCACAATCATGTGCTGAACTTGAGCTAACACCTGGTGTTTCTCAAGAAACCAGGGAGACACAGTAATCTGCTGTCTTGCCCTAAGCCGAGCATTTTCCTTCTCCATGGTCACCAGCTCGTCATGAATCTCGGCCTAAAAAGTCAAAGAATCACTGTGGTCTCTCAGGTTTTGAACCTCTCGATGCTGCATCTCTTCACGGAGTCCTTTGATCTCGTTTATCAAATGTTGGTTGACCTTCACGTTATGCGTCCTCATGGCATCGAGCAGGTCATTCTCCAAATGCGCCACTGTCTCGAGGCTGTGCACGTCAACACGACGTCTCATAATCCCGCTCATCATGGAATATAATGGAAACTCCCTCGATTGCTCCTCTGATAACACCATGTGGTGCACGCGGTGAACGGTCCAACTTTCGTGTTTCACCAAAGGAGCATAAGGCACTCACATCAAACCAAATAGAAAGAACACAGAGGACAAAAAACAGGAATAAAGAGAGACGTTTGCATACATCTAAGCAAGAAAAGAAAAATTAGTTCATTACAGCAGAAAGGAAAAAGTTTGAATGTCCTAAAAAACTATTACATAAGGCAGGATTCGTACAGCATCACTGCCTAGGGGAGGATCATTGGAAGGATCATTGGAAGGGTCCTTAGAAGGGGCCTGAGAGGCATCCTCAGCGGTTCTCTGAACTCCGGAGTGACCGGTATCAGCGACGCCCTCCTCGGTTTCCTCATCAGCATCCTCGAGCTCGATGCCCATATACTCGTCAGGAACTTCGGGGATGGGGTCTTCCTCACTCGAAGCCTTGGCCATGACAGTAGGGATGTCACCTGGAAACGAGGCAATCTCCGCTGGAGAACTCATCTTGGGCAGGGCACCGGTCAAAGCTCCCCACAGAGGGAGCTGCTCAAGACTCAACCTCGTCAAGACCTTCACTATGGCCTTGTGCATGGTTTTCTTTGGGTCCTTCATCAAGAGTTCCTTAAACCATTTGGCCTTAATTGGCCTATCCTGGTCGAGCCTCTTTAGCCCTACCACGCTCACTCGGTGCGCACCACACTTGCTGGCAACCAAGCTCACCTCCTCGAGAGCTGCCGCCATTCCGCCTGTGGACATCATTCTGTACATAAAGGTGGTACACCACTGGTGGAGCTCCTCCTTGGAGATATGCAGGCTGGCAAACACCTTCATCTTCTCGTCGAGCTCTTCGTATTTGGCCTGCACCTCGACAATCTCTGCTTCCTTGGCCTGAGCTTGGCGAACCTTCTCCTCGAGGGTAACCACTTCGAACAACGCCTCGTCCCTTTCTGCTCTTGTTGCTGCCAGGTCCTCTCGAAGTTTCCTCAGCTGCACTAAATAGGCCATTGAAGCTGCGCTCATCTGAGCCAACACAACATATTAGAGACACATGGACATCCACGGCGCATTTATGACATAATTTGAAGAAAATTACTTACCAGCCGCAAGCTGACAGTCTCATTCAGTTGGGCAGCAAATTCCTCGAGAATAGGACACTCGATTGAAGGAGGGTTGCTGAAGGTATGAACTGCCACAGTCGGGCCTCCCTCGAACAGTTGGGGGGGCAAGACTATAGCCTCTCCCTCGAGAGGGCTCTTTCCTTTTCCTACCCCGGGAGGAACTGTGCTTGGCCCTGTCTCCGGCACAGTTTTTTGCACGGACTCAGTAGCAACGGGCACCGTCTCAACGCTTGGTTGGGCAGTTTCCCTCGGGGGCGCATCCGTCTTGGCCTTTTTGGCCTTTGCCCTGTCACCCACCTTCACGATCCTGTTCTTCTTCTTCTTCTGGGGGGCGGCAGTAACGGTAATATCCTCATCTGAACTCATAATGACAAAAGGATCTTCGTCACCAAATGATCGAGACCCAGCATTGCTCGACGACATGACCTAACAACAAAGAAACAAAAGAAGAAAACGATTAGTACCTTGATCAGAGATTTCGAGGGAAATTCTGGTTACTCCCTCGACGATGACCGTATCACCTTCTTCACATATGCAGGGGGCACATAGTTTTGGACGTCATTCCACTTAACGACATTCGCATACTTCAGAATTTCTCAACGTCTGCCTGGAACTCCTCAACACACTCTTCATCCTCTTGGGTCCAGTCATCTTTTATGGCCCCAAGGCCCTCTGTCTCAGGGAGATTCTATGGCAGACAATAACTTGCAGGCGCCTTTACAAACACAAAATCTGGTTTCCATTCCGGAGAACCACCGTACGCCTCGACCATTTTCTTCACGCTGGTTCTAAGGCGTCTTTTAACTATATACCAATCTTGAAAAGAAGTCGAGGCCACAACTACTTAGAAAAAGTACCTCCATAGTATCAATCGAGGTACCACCTTTATATATTGGCACACTCTCGCAAACCCTAGTACAAATGTAATTAAATTTGGGGTAAAACGAGTGAGAGGAGTCCTATAATGTTAAACAATCTCCTCAAACAGGGGGTAACGAGGAAATCTAAGCCCTAGATGCATAAATCGATCATACACAGTAATTCTTCCCCTTGGAGGAGAGTTGGCCCTCTCGTTTCCTAACGGAGCCCTCGCCTGTAGGGCGGAGGGGAAGTCATACTTGGATTTGAGATATTCTACCTTATCCACCGAGTCTATAGTGGAAACAAAGTCTAGAACAGTTTTCCCTTCGGAATCCCTAACCATAATTCTGGAAAAATCTACTGTGGGTACAGACGGGAAGGAAACGGAACGAATCGGAGATTCAAATCTGGAAACTTACTGTGTAAGGGGGACGTGACCACTCGCCCTTCGAATTGTAACTCTCCAGTGTTACCTAGAAGCCTCAATTCGGAGCTCCCCTAGAAACAGCGTCGCCGGGGCAATATATCAGGTAAAATTGTGAAAATTCCGGCTGGGAAAGAACTTCGGATACTTTGGAAAGGAAGCGGAATGGGGACTGAAATGCTTTTTGCAAAGAAAAAGATTTTTGTGCTTTTTACGGAGAAAAGAAGTGATTAAGTGTTCGGGAAAAGTAGGAGTTTTTCTCTTTTAAACGAAAGTTGGTTCTCCCACGTCTCCTTAATTATGGGCCACGATCTGACAGTTATTGCAGGTCTCAAAGAAGTAATGATGTTGAGGCTGCCGTTTGGGGAACGTGCCCGCTAATAACGCACAGTTGAAAATTTGAGCGGGATTGGGGAAGCGGGTCGCCTTCCCGGGTCACGGTCCGACCCGCCGGGTCCTCTCGATCCTCTGAGGTCGAGGGTGGCATATCAGTACCGAGCTTGTTAGGCATATGCCTCGATAATTAGCTGAACGAGGACGATCTGTCCACCCTTGGGCATGCCTCAGGTAATGCTCATTTTATGCCAAGCGTTGTTTTGTTTTACGTCACTAACACTTGGCAGGGGCACTTGACGAGTCCAGATCCATGACCGAGATTGGACCGGCCCACTCATCGCAAGAAGAATCCAACTGGGACTCTTAGGGCGGTGTGAATCCCTAAAACCTATGAGGATTCGGAATGGTCCAGGTAATCTCATACCTATAAATAGGGTAGCTCATACCGTAATTCAGGTACGCAATCTATAAGCCAAACATATTACTCCCCAAAACTTTCGAGCAATCCCGTTGTCTAACTTAAGCATCGGAGTGTCTACCCTCGGGAGACCCCAAGGCTCTGTTTTGCAGGAAACCCTAACCGGAGTTCTACCGTTAAACCGGCGGCGCATATCCGTGCATCGTCAGTCATCAATCGTCATACATTAGTAAATATTTGGAATGGGAGAAAGATTATTGAAGGCCGCAAATCTCAGATTTTGTTGCAGAAATGCTTCACGTTTGAGAAAGCAAACCGGAACCAACAACACTCCAACTGTTCCCAAACCTAACAAAAGTGAAAAACTAGAGAAAGAAGATTCTTCAGTTATGCAGGAGTCGCAGAATTGGAGAAATGGCTACCAAAATGAATAGTCTTTTCGTTGTTTATATGATAGGGCAAAAGAATCACCTATTTCCTTTTCGTTTTTTTTTTTGGTTGAATCAGAAAAAAATAAAAACAGAAACACAAAATGGAGGTCCATTAAACTGCAGAATAATCTACATGATGCCTCCGTCGTAATTTCGTCCAGTATTCTATTTCTATTTGCTATTTGGCTTCAAAATAAACCCTTTTTAGTTTTATTCCACATTCTGGGTTCTTACAAGTTACAATATAGAGTCTCTTAGAATTGGAAAAGCAATGAGGCCCGAGAGAGATTGGTCCGGGCTTTTGCCAGAGATGCTGGAGCAGATCGCAACACGCATACGGGTGGTGGAAGATTTCATGGCGTTCAGAGGGGTTTGTACTTGCTGGCGATCCGCTGTTACTAAAGGTCAGTTCCTCAATTCCAGCCCTAATACGACCCCGTTGCTTATGCTCCCAGAAGAAGTTTTTCTCGGTACCGATGAACGCAAATTCTACAGCCCGTGTAGAAGAAGATCGTTATGAGGTTAACCGTTCCCAAGGCGAAGGATAAATGGTGCATGAGAGCAAGATTCGGTTGGTTGTTAACCGTCGACTTCTATGCGGCCACAGCGGAGGCTGATTTGTTGAACCCTATTTCTGGTGCCAAGATGACTCTCCCAAGTATTGATACCTTCCCTGATTATGTAGGTTCAGAATATATTCGTAATGCCAACAAACCATTCATAACGAAAGCCGTTTTGTCGGCCGATCCATCCCGCACATCGGATTTTGTTCTAATGGTGGTTCACACGTTTGGTGATTTCTTTGGTTTTTGGAGGTCTAGGGACTCGTCCTGGAGCAAGATAGAATCTCCACCGGGTTGTGGTATATTCTCGGATATTAATACTACAACAGCAAGTTCTATGCTGTGGAGTCTCATGCGACTCGAGTTTGGGTTTGGGATGAATTGGCATCGAAGCTCAATGTTGTCATTCGTCATAATGTATAATTGTCGAGTAATGGAACAGTATATCTAGTGGAATCATCAAGCGGGGAGTTGTTAGCCCTGATCCCGTCGGATTCCGTTACCCATTTGCGTGTCGTTAGGTTGGATGTGACGAGAGGCACGAGCGAGATAAGTGCTACTCTGGGAGAAGATGCTGTGTTTGTTGGCTGTGGTGCTGTTTTCTCCGTCTTGGCTTCCGCCTTTCCTTTCCGGGTGTAATCAAACCCGATAGCATCTACTACGCAAATGATTACCTTGAATATTGGTGTTGGATTGATGTTTCCCATGTTTACAGCAGGGGAATTTACCATCTTAAAGACTCACGTATTGAACCGTTACTAGACGCCAATCCCTTTATAGGCTCATGGGTTTGGATATAGTTCTATATATGCAAATCCTTTGATAGGCTCGTGAGTCTGGATATAGTTCTATGCAGGTACAAATGCCTTATGCATTCTTTGAGCAGTTTAAGAAATTATTAGAGAGCTTGTTATGTATTTGATTAGTCAAGGTTATGTGCCTTTAATCGTTGAAACCTGAAGGTTGTCTGCCTCATACAGTTTAGTATTACATTATAGTGTAAGCTGTTTGTTTAAAGAATATCATACGTGTGTATCGGTACAAATTTCAAAACTTAACCTGAATTATATGTTTTCTTTTTGGGAACAGAGGGAGTATTTGTATTTTTCTTTCAAAAAATTATAGTATTACGAATGTAGACTATGATGTTGTAATGATACCATTCATGTTTTCATTATGGGGTGCCTAGTTAGTTAAATAAAACCACGGTTTTTGTTCTGTAGAGTTTATCCCTCGAAATCCCACAAGTTGAGAGTTATACGGTTCTTTTATAGTGTTTTGAGCTTATTAGGCTCGACCTCAAATTTCATTTAGTGGAAATTGGTAACTCCACCAAATTAAATTTTTATGTTATTTCACAATGAACAATCTTATTCTAATGAGCTTCATTGGGAAAATGAGGAGAGGGAGCTTACTGTTCCATGATATCACAAGTCCGTAAAACAAGCTCCATGTTGAGTAAATAGTTAACGAAGCAGTGGATGCGATATTGGCATCAGCTGTTGCTGCTACACCATCCGTAGGCGCATTCAAGTAAAAAGGATCAAAGATCACATAAGCCATAACAGCCTTCTTGAATAAAAAGGCAAGATAGCTCATTCCCTATCATTGGAGAAGGAAATCAAGCTTAAAGATTAACAAGTTAGGATAACTTTACATCGTGATTGTAATTAACAGGTATTATTTTGTAAGTCATTGTGTAAAAATTGTGCTCTCTTTCTCCCAAAATGATTATTATGGTTGATTTTTAACAGGACATATATTACGGGAGTAAAATAATATGGACGAAAAGGTCTTTGCTCTGATGGAAGACCACTGATGCGGCCTGGATATTCAACAAGGGCTTCATTCAATGGGATCAGCTCCACAAGCTCTCGCTCAAGTTGATTTAGTAAGAAAAAACACACGCTAGTGTATCCAGATATTTTCTAGCATAGTAGCAAGAATGCTACTGCATGTCAATTTAGCAATTAAACTATAGTTTGTAAGTCATTGCATAAGAAAACAATGATATATACTCCCTCCATCCCGAAATTATTGTCAGTTTGAGATTTCTCAATTTGAAATATATATATTAAATAAAATCTTGGACAAATCAAAATATCTTACAATAAGGAGCGGAGGAAGGGAGTACAATTATCCAAATCCGGAACAATCCCTTGACAATCAATCATCTTCTGTGGCTCATCATCCAAAGCCGGAACTCCTAGTGATACTATCCTGTTTGAACTAGAAAATTTAGAGACTTGCTTCGAAAAAGCTTCCAAAACCTCATAATCAATGAGACCATCCATTTTTTGGCGATGGAAACAATATAAAATTAAGCAACACCATTGAGGCAATGAATGAGATTCTAGTCGTATATTCGTAGTCTCTCTGTTCTAAAATGATTGTCCAGTTAGGATTTTAATTTTTGGTTCAAATTGTACTAAAAGTAAAATTCTAAACTGGACAATAACTGATTGTCCAGTTGAAAGCCGTAAATTTCAGATTTTGTAGAAGAAATGCTTGACGGTTGGGAAAGCAAATTCGAAGGAGCAACACTCCAACAGTTCCAAAACTCAGAAAAGTGCAAACCGGCGTGGAAGAGGATTCATCAGCTATAGGCAGAAATGGTGAAATGACTACCAAACAAAAGAAAATAGTCTTTCGGTTGTTTATGACAGATAGGGTAAAAGGAAATAGTCTTCTTTTAAATAAAATTAATATTGTGCCCGTGCGTTGCACGGTTGATACAGATTTGATTCTTGGGAAGTATTTCAATGAACACATATATTAAATTGCAAAAAAAATTGTGACATCAATAACAGATAAAGAATTGAAAAAAATAAATGATGACCGCATCATACATTCTTAAGAGTTTCTTTATAAACAACATTTATTGTTGTGCTGCTAAGTTCTCCATTCTTATTGCAAATAATTATCTTCAAACCTTTTCTGAACTTTACTCTGGAAAAGTAACATAAAGTTGTACATGGGTGAAAAATGGACGACGGAGAAATAAGCCAACATGAAATAATACTGTCATTTACTCTTATTGATCGTCATAGATAAACATGCTACAACTGGGAATTGCCTCCGTCATAATTTAACTGATACCCTCTCGTCAGTCGGACTAATATCCATACGCGGAATGAAACATTTGCGATTGATATTAGCAACAGATATAATAGTAGCTTGAATAACTCGTTCCCCCGAATTGTTGACCTATAACCTGGTACCATTACACAAGCCGCCTGGCTGATGAAGATTCTGAAGAAGTATGATCGGGACTCCGACCTTAGGTAATATCTTGTGATTTGGCATTCATGAACACTTAATGGCATTGAGAAATTCTTCTGTGTAAATCTCATCGTCCTCAGGATTTATCGACTTTGGTATCTCTTCTATGCAATCACAACTGTAATATATCTTTGCTTTCCTACTAAGTTGTGCCAGCATATGCTCATTGATAGCATCAACTTCGTCATTGGTTGGTGCCAAAATTGCCCTCTCGACGAAGAAACTAGGAACTTTAAATTAATCTTTTTTTGTCTTATCTTATTTTTAAATTGTTAAAATTTATTTAAGTTTTAACAAAAAAAATTAATAATTTAATACTAATAATTTCATATTTCACATATTTTATATATTTTAAAATTTAAAATTATATATGATGTCATACCGCTCTAATTCGGTTTTTTGTCCTGGGCTAACAGGTTGACTCAGTGCCCCAGTGACACTTTAACTTTATCGATTCATCTTTCGGTCTGGGTCCGACAATATTGCCTTTGAGAGTGATTATCTAATGCTTTAGTTGGTTGTCGTCGCAAAATATGAAACGATTTGGAATTACCTTCGCTTAAATTTAACCAGCACTCTTATGTCATAAGATTAATATCCATACGCACAATTAACTTTGAAAAAATTAAAATAATCATTTTTAGTGACATATCAAAAGAGATTAAAATTGACTATGTTTTAATTGGGTTATAATAAGATAAAAAAATCGATCATCACATCCAAATACATTTGGCAATATATCAATTAAAAAAAAAAAAAAGAAAAGATAAACGGGGAGTCTCATTCCATCTTTATTTTCATCTTTAACAACATGTCACTATGTCCCGACCTCATTAAAAGGTTATGAGTTTGTGATAGGTTAAAACCTGCAACAGTGACCAGAAAAACAAAAAAGAACAACGAATCACATGCCCAGAGAGAATTTCTTCGCTACTATTATTTAATTATGAAAGGGTCACCTTCCAACTGGTCTTATTCCGTCTTTTGCTTCAAATCTTTAACATCATGCCACTCTCCATCATCTTACTTAAAAAATTTTAAGTTTTTGGTAGATTAAAATCTTGCAAATGGCTTTGTCTACTATTTTAGTATTTTTAACCGTTCGTTAAACCAAAAAAATTGTGGATCTAATTCAATCTCTATTTTCTTATTTAACAGTATGCCACTCTGTATTGTCTCACTTAAAAGGTTCCAATTTTTTGATAGCTTGAAAATATGTAATAATTTTAAAAGTTAATTTTTAGTATCTTTGGCAAACCCGTTGAACCAAACAGAAAAGAATAAAATGAACTGGTTGGTCTCATTTTATTGTTATTTTTATCTTTAACAACATGTCACTCTGTATCGTCATGCTTAGGTTTCGAGTATTTGGTAAGTTAAAAACCTACTATGATTTTTGCTATTTTAATACTTTTGGCAGCTCGTTGAATAAAAAAAAAAGGAAAGTCTCATTTCATATTTATATACATCTTTAACAGGATGTTATTTTGCAATGACTTTGACTGCTATTTTAGTATTTTTTTAATATCCCGTTGAAACCCCCAAAAAAGAAGAACTGACATATCTCATTCTGACCTTATTTTCACTTGTTCATCTACACTTTTGATAGCCCGTTGAATTGTGGTTAGGGTGAATATATTGACTAATATAAATATGTTATAGATTCATTTTCAAATAGGGTTAATATCAAAAACACCCTCGAGGTTTGATCGATTATCTAAAATGTCCTCAACTTTTGAGTAAATATACTATTGAAATAATCCTTCAGCACCGGGAAGATGATGTACACCTATGATGTCAGCAAAAAAAGGAAACGTGAGGGCTCATTTACCCTTGTTTGTTTAAAACATATAAAAAGAAAATATTTGGCTTTTTTTTTTCCGACGACTTTCTAACTAAAAAACCAAACCCAACAAATCGATTATCCGAATCTGTTCTCGCTGTTGATCGGAATCCAATTTTATCTATAAATCAAACAAAGGATTTCAAAGTGACTTGAAAGGTGAATTACAATTACAATAACCATGTTAAAAAATTCAACTGAAATTGGACTTCCTCCCAAATGTTAGAGCATTTCCGAAGGCAATACCAATTTGGTGTACATCAAATCACGAATTTGGTGTTTTGATGACTGTTACAGTATTTTGAAGTCCAACCATCAGCATAAATTCCACACTCCAAATCACCAATTCTCTTTTATCTTTTTTTATTATTAAATTTATTAGATTATAAAAAGATAACATATTTTTGTTTATATTTCGAACATAACCAAAATATTTATAACTACATTACACCAAAAAAAAATTATATAATAGATTAAACTTTAGAAACCATATTTAATCAAATTAATAATTAAA